TGTTCAAAATTATGTATTTTAATAAGTATATTACCTCTACTATGGAAAGATGTTTCTATTAAATGGAAGATTAATGGGCTTATTAGATCTTGTTATAAATCCATGGCAATTTGAAAAATTTATCTGCCCGATGTTGCTCAGTTTTCTTCCTTTTCCATGAAGCATCAATTTAGGTAGATTTGGCCTGATTTGTTGCTGTTGATTTTGGAAAGCAAGATTCTTATAATATCATGAAGCACAGTACCCAGTGCATTGTGTAAATAAAATATGGTGGCAAATATTTTGTTGAGGTTTCTTTGGATAAATAAATCTTGGACAAATGTTTTGATGACTTTTAATTTTAAAAAGTTACTTTAGGGCTAGGGATTTAGCTCAGTGGTTCCACTGCCTGCCTCGCAAATTCAAGGTCCTGAGTTCGATCCCTGGTACCAAAAAAAAAAAAAGTTTACTTTAAAAGTAAAGCATGCTTCTTCAGTACACATGTGCTTCCTCTTAACACAACATATAGCTCTGAAAACAATCTTCCCATTCTGGCAAATATCTCAAATAAGAAGGTTTGAGAGAAAATTAAGTCTAAGGGGAGGCCATTCAAATGATATAGCTCTCTGTAATGGAGCCCTAAAAGAGAGAGGGATGGGTGGGAGGAGCAATTCCAGTTAGACACTAGAACATACACCTGGAGGACTTGTGCCACCTTTTCTGGGAGGTGGGTCCTGTAGGAATTTCCTTCTAACAGAGATCATTGTCATATAAAAACAGCAAGAATCAAGATGTCTCCTTTGTTAATCCATTATTTAAATTTTGTTGTGTCTTTACAGTTCCTTCATCTACACTCATAGTTTTTCTAGATAAGCTTAATTTAGTGGAATGAATGATTGTTTAAGCCATTAAAAGAGAATTTGTACTATGAAGAGGCATTTGTATAGATTTTAAACTTTTTTCTTATGATTTTCATATATTAAGATTTTGGCTATATTCATAAGAAAGCTTGTGTCCAATCACTGAAAAACAGTAATGTGTTGAGGGAAAAAAACCTTAAGACTAATACAACTCCAGATTTATGCACTTATTGTTTATTTCCTTATTTACCAATTACTTGTGAGTGAATTATCATAAAAGAAAACAACAAACTAAATTTGAGAGAATATTTCCAACAAGGAGGAAGTGTTTTCTTAAAAACTATGTTTTTAAGAAAGAGAAAATAATTCTTATATATGTAATTAACATTTTTAAATAAATTATTTTATTTCTTTCAAGTTATTGAATTTAAATTTATTTTTATCAGACACATAAAAACATTATGTTACTTAGTAAATTTAGTACATAATTTGATCCTCCTGAACAATGTTATGAAGTTTTCTAAGTCCCAACCATATTCAGTATCACTACCAGAGATTTATAAAATGTCTCAAATTATTCCAGGATTCATTTTCTCTCTTTCTCTGCATACTTGTATATCTTTATCTTTACTTCTATTTCTATTTGCCTAGAAAATTCAAATGCAATAACTCTTCTGTATACATTAAAATATTCAGTTTTTAGTAAATCAATGAAAGTTAACACTATGAAAGATGTTTTCACTTTTTTTTCAAACTTGCAGTGTAATAAGGAAGTAAACTAGTGAACTCTCTTTAAGTGGAACTGGGTGGTTCACAGAAAGAAGCATGGTTATGTCAACATGATCATTAATATTTATTATGAATAGTCAGAGATGATGATGATGGTAATCAGAATTCTGAAGTACTGACACTATCATAAGGTATATCTTCTTTTCCTAACTAAACTAAAACTTTTACTCTTGGACCTTAACTTTTACAAGGTGTCATCTATTCTAAAATGCTATAAAATAGCAACACTTTTTACTTTGATTAATGACACATTGTCAGAATGATGAATTCTTCTAGAGTGTAATTTGAAAGATAATATCATTCTAAGGGGGAAAAATGTTCAGGTAAGAATTTAGAACAGTTACCAGATGAAATCCTACCACCATACAGTGTACCACCATACAGATGAAGGAGAATCTGGAAATGCTGCCAGTAAATCACATTGTTTGACTCTACTTTAAGCTTTCATCCTGCAGTGAAATACATGATTTATGTGACCTGAAGGCTATTTTGGTTTGGTTTTAAAATAATTTTTACATGTAGAACAGTTTTGCAGGTAATTTTATAGATTTCCAGTCCTCTTCTCCTCTTGTTAGTGCCTATTGGTACTGCTATATATACATTTTCATATTTAGAAGATGAAAATTCTTTGAGCTGAGCTTTAAAATTCAAGAATGTTTCATTAATATGTAATTAAATATGTATTTTAAATATTGTAACACAATTTCGTTTATTGATTATTACTCAAAGTGATAGTTCAGATTAAGTGAAAGGTTGAGTGTGTGTGTTTGTGTGTTGCAAATCTAGATGTTTTCTTTTAAATCCACAAAAGTTATCAGGGATATGTTCTCAACTATTAATGGCTGTTACCTCTAGGGATTTCTATATATGAATTAGAAGGAACCTCCATTTCTTATATTTTAATACTATGTGGCTGCAATCTAGTGTTACTTACTTGATGAAATTTAAAAATGAATAGAATGAAAAACTCAACCACTTAATTCTTGGATAGGCAAAGGTGTACAGAATTATAGTTTTGTGGGGTTTTATTTAAAGGAAAGAACAATATTCAGATCTATTAGATATAAGTTTTAGTATGTTCAGTTTCAAGAAACCACAGATAAAGATCACATTTTATATAGTGAAAGCTAATGTGACCTTATCAAGGAAAAAGAGTTCGACTAGAAGAACTTTTGGGGCTTGAATTTAATTCAAGCCCCAATAATTTACAGCCATTTGACTTTGACCTATGTATTTTGAATTTTGGATTCATTGTCCATATAATGGGAATCATAAATATCTGACCTTTTGTATCATTGATTTGAAGTTAAGAGAAATAAAATATAAATTCACAGTCTTACAATGAAAAAAATAACATATAAGTGCATTATATCCTAGAAAACATATATATTCATTTATTGGCATTTTATTTATTTCAGTTATCTACTAAATAAACAGGGTTTAAGATACACAGATATAAAATTTAATTGTATGAATTATCCATAAAGTTTATCATATTTTTAGCTGTAAATTTCAATTTTTTGCCATTTCTGAGTTGTTTGAATTGGGCCACCAAGAAGTGTTATAAATTTGTTGGAACCCTAATAGCAGGGCTAATTTTAGGAAAAGAATAATCTCTGTTTTGTGTTATTTAAACAAACATACATTTGATAATTCTTATCTTACTAATTCTACATAAAATTAATACTATTGATTTTGATATTTTATAAATATAAAATTAAAACCAAACATAGTAAGTACATTTGAAATTAATAGACTTTTGTTGTGGGCAATTTGAAATCAGGCTTATGTTGAATTACTATGCTTTAAAATTGGAAAATTTCAGATCAGATATCACAGGTCTGTACACAGCATGGACAGCAATATATGCACATAGGTCATGTTTATCATATTTTCATAGATATTTTATTAACTCAGTGTCATACTTGAACATCACTAGTTAGTTACATTGATGTTCACTGATTTTTTTTCCAGAAATAGACTCCAGTGAATTTTAATAGATTTTCAAAAGGTCATAACTGGAAAGCTTCAATGTAATTGTAGCTACCTAAATTGGTACCTAGATGAAAACTTTCAAGTAGGAGTACATACATAAGAGTACAAAATAATTACTCCTGATCATTGCTGTACTTTTTCTGTCTTGAAGACATTTGCTAAGAGAAAGATCTGCCTATTTCTTATCTTCCTAATGCCAGGTTCTCACAGAGTCTCTGGAGTTCCTGGCTCTTCCCCTCAGATTTTAGTTCAAGCTCAGATGGGATCCTTGGGCAGACCAGAGAAGTTGCTGTGAGGAGACCTTTCAGAGAATAGTGTCTTTCCAAGATTTACCTGTTCCTCAGCAATCCCTTTGAAACATGTCCAAAATAATTTTTTAAATTCTCTTTCTCAATTATGTATTTTAACTATGCAACACTTCTCTTTCTTCTTACACTTTATTTTTACTATATACTCTTTGTCAGGCAGTGTAGTAGCTATGCAAAAGTTTTTTAAAAAATGGGTTTTTCTTTTGTGAGCTTATGTAGTGTGATGGGATAGAAAGAAGCCAAAAAATGATGCAAAATTCACGTAGTGAATTTGGTGAGGTGCTTCTCAGCAGGTTACACCTTACAAAGGTTGGATGATTCATAAAGTTGGGAGGAGAAAGGTGCAGAGAATAGTTTCTAGACCTGTGAGAATAACTTGGCATGATTCAAGAAGGAGAAATTGGCATCTGCCAGACAAAAATAACGGAAAAAGGGAGGCCATCCGGCAAGTGAACCTTCTGAGCAAATGCATACAATGAGGAGCAGCTTGCAGTTGACTGGGGTACTCTGAATGTAGGCACTTCCTGATGTACACATTTGCATAGTGTGTATTTTCTAAAGATGTCTTATCACCAAGCAATATTATTACTGCTTATTCATGTTCTCAGTAGAAGCAACAGTGGCCACAAAAAACACATCAACCTATTTGGGGTTCCCATAGTGGAAAGGCTATGAGTCATTAGAATTATAGATACCTGAGGTCATTTTCCAGCTCTGTCACCCACTCATTATGATATTAAAACTCTCCAAGCTTTAGTTTCATTATTCCTGATAAAGAAATGAAAATTTATGTTTTAGAGTTAACCCAAGGATGAAGTGATACAATATTTTGAAAATGTTTAACATAGCATTAGCATGAGCCCAATTTAGTGCCTTCATTTGATGGCATCTGTCGCCATTATAATGGTTGATAAAAATGTCAATTTGACTTTTTAGAAATTAATTAGAATTCACTGAATTTTATGAATCATGGAATGCCAAATATTTGACTTAAAGTTTATAAATTGCTTAGGCTGACTCTAATGTTCGTCTGCCAGGAACTTTAGTCATACTTTTCCTTTCTTAATAGGCAAGATCTCAAGTATTATCCAGAGTTTTGGACATTGCCCATGGATTTATAAAGGAGGTTAATCCAGATGAAACCACAGGAGGGAACAATTCTATGAAAGAGACCAGTGGCATTCAACATGTGCCCAAAGTTCTGTCTCCCAAAGGAAGCCACTCTGAGGTAAGCTGAGTACAATGGAATAGGACATTTTCTATCTTACATGGCCACGCATACTTTTATCTAGGCATGTAGAGCTTTAGAGATTATTTTATCACTTTGTTAGTTAATATGGACTTTTTTACTAATCAAATATATCTTGACTACAGAAATATTTTCAAAGAAATTGCTTTGATTCCACTGAAAACTGATCATTTTGATGAATGATTTTGGCCGTATGACTTTCTGAGCATTTCTACCATGTTAGGAATTGAAAGAATATTTAAAAGAAATATTAAAACAAAAAAACAGAACACAATATGACTATTTGTATTAGTTAGTATACAGACTAATGTAAAAATACAAAAATTTGCCAATCACTTTAGGTGGCAGGCAATTTTGCAGTTATTTAAAACCAGATTCTGGTAGTTATTCAGACTGACTAGTAATCCTAGAAAATGCTAGATAAGCTTTTAGCTGCACACATCTGTGTGTTTAAAATAGACTAGTACTGATTCTTGAGCACGAAACATACTGCAAATTGGATCGTTGTAATCCTCATTATTTTGGAAACCATTTACCTTATTCCTGCACTTCAGAAACTGCAAGTCCCTGAGACAATCACACAGCTTTTTATTTGGTGACCAAGTCTGTGTTGCACTTAAGTCTGTTAATTTTCAAACTCACGCTTACAGAATTTAAGAACAAATATATTCTGTGTCACCGGGACTATTTTTTCAGCTGAGGAATTTTGAGGTGTGATCGAAAAATACAGTGTGTGTTTAAATTTTAAGAAGATTATTAGTGTAGAAAACATTTTGTTATTAGTTCCTCTCAATGTAATCTCCCTTTCATTGAACATTCTCATCCAAATATTTCTGAAAGCAGTTCTGGAGCATTCCTGGAAGTCCTTTTCATGGTTTTAGCTGTACTGTCGTGGCTGCCTCAGTGTTCTGAACTGATTTGAAACCTTTCATGATCATGACTTTTAGGAAGAGCCAGAAGTCTCATGGTGCCACATCAGGTGAACAATGTAGATGAGGACACACCATAATGTCTTTGTGAGCCTCCTTCATTTAGATGACACTCACTGTATTTTTTATCACATCTTGTAAAGACATGAAAGAGGACATTCAGAACTACCTCAGAAAGTGGCACTAAGTGTGTTTGGAATGAGAGGAGGTATTTTGAGGGGGTTAATGCCCATGTCTTTTATTAGAATTCATTTATAAATACTTAATCATTTACTGCATGCTTCAATCATCACTTCTATGTTTGAGTGTTCCAAGAAAGTCAACATGTTTTCACGGATTTCACTTTTTAATAGATCTGGTGTTCTGTGAAGAATTGCTGAATGAGTTACAGCCTCATAACTATAATAATATTCTATTGAGAACAAAGCACTATCATAAATATTTTACACATATCATATCATTTTGTCTTTTCTTAAAGTGTACTTTTTGTCAGATGGCAGAATAGTGGCAAAGAAGACTTGTAATAATTTGCCCCAGGTATCACTAATAGCAGAACTTAGATTTAAAGTTGATCTTCTGGCATGCCCTGCCGAGGTCTCGAGTTGCACGGAACACACTGAATCAGCCCGCGCCCCGGCAGCAATCCACTGAACACTGCCCCACCCCGCTCCTCTGTGCAGCCACCTGGCTCCACACTACAAAGACGCACAAAGACACTGGGCCACCAGACCATGGTACTGAGTCCTGCTGCTCCCGGACCACAAGCAAGGGCTCCTGACCTGCCGTCCCACAGCTCCTGGTCCGGAGGAAGGGGCTTCCCAGCCTCCATCCCTCCCGTTGCACCCAGCCCAGAGGAAAGGACTTTTGGGCCACCTTCTGTCCCACAGCTCTTGGCCCAGAGGAAGGGGCTTCCAGGCCACCATCCCTCCCACTGCTCCCAGCCCACAGGAAAAGGCTTTTGGGCCACCAACCCTACCGCTGTTCCTGGCCCCTGTCCCACCTCACCCAGCTCAGAGGAGGTAATCTATACAGGCACCAACAGCCCCCCCCAAGTCGAAATGAGAAAACACATAAATAAGTCT